GAGACCAGCCTGGGCTACAAAGTGAGCTCAAGGCCAGCCTGAACTGCATAGTGAGACCCTGTCTCAAAAAGACAAAAAAAAAAAAATGTATGCCAATCCTGCAGTGGTCAATGGTATCTCACTGTTTTAATTTGTAGCATTTAAGCACACTTTTGTACATGTATTGGACACTTGTTCTGTGAACTGTCCATGTGTGTCCTCAGTTACTGTTCTTATTAATTTAGAATTATAGGCACTATCTTAAGGGCGAAGTACTTGAAGACACTTACTTTAAATTCTCAGACACTGTCTTGGCTTTATTGTAGTGTCCCCCAACTGGGTTTGCAGCAGCGATAACCGAAGTTCTTGCAGGGAGGCTACAAACCACACCAGCCTTCGCAAGGCTGATGCTTTGCTGTTCCATGGCTTCTAACAAGGCTTGGTGCTGGTTCCCCATCTTGTCAAACTCATCTATTCCACAAACGCCTTCAATCACAGGAGAATAATGCAGACAAAAGTGTTTTCCTTTGGTCAGATTCTAACTTTTACAAAATAGAAATGTTCCACAATAAAGAATTATTTTTATTTGATTCCAATAGTTAAAATTACAAACTGTCACACAATGGAGCGTTACTATTTGTTTTTTGTTTTTTGTTTTTTTTTTCCGGTACCTGGAATCGAACTCACGACCTTGCGCTTGCCAGGCAGGCGCTTTGCCGCTGAGCTAAATCCCCAGCCCCTACTATTTGTTTTATAGCAAATAATACACTTGCCTTGCTTAACAAAGTTTGTTTAATATTTGTCCATTGACTGTTTCCATAGGCAAAGCACTATGTTTTAAGGGTTACAAAAATGAATAAGATGCCAGGTATATATATATAGCTCAGTGGCATAGTGCCTGTGTGGCAAGCATGAGGTTGTAAGTTCGATTCCTAGTGCCAAAAAAAAAAAAAGAGATGAGAGTGACCCTGTAAACACTTAAACAGGTCTCCAGGGATGTAGCTCAGCAGCACAGCACCTGCTAGGCAAGCACAAGGCCCTGAGTTCAATTCCTGGTACCAAAAACAAAA